AGATTGGCATTGGCTATCTATAATATTTTAAATCGGTGTTAGCAAGTAGTAGAGTAGACCCATATATGTGGTGTATATTCATTTGTGCAATGGTTGACATGAATGAAAGTAATCGAATAAAATTAATTAACAATTAGATCACTACGTAAATAGATGATTAGATGTCTAGCATCTAATCAAAGAGATTAAATGATCAAGTTGCATTCTAGAAAACTCTTAGAATTTTTCTTTTCCTTAATAAAAGATTTGAAATTTGCACCCAATAAGAAAAGAAAAAAAAAGATTTTAATTACAATGTTTGTTCTGAAAAAGTGGTTTGTTTAGATAACAGTCACGTGTCCTATGATTTGTCGTTCCCACATCACACTACTCCGACTCGCTATGTCGCCAACTCTATGAAGTTGTATTATTATCACTGAGCTATATAATCATTGTAGTATAGTGAAATTGTGATAGATTTTTGTTTTTGCTTCAATATGAAATTGTGATAGATATTGTTACGATTAGATATGTGTTGGACCGTGTGTGGCTACAAATATGGTCATCTTAGGGATGTCATGTCGCCGACGGCTACAAAATCTAGTCAATAATCTCGCTTGGGCTAGGCTCAACTTTCTAGGCCCATTATCTTCTTTGTTTATTTTCTTTCTTAAAACTAAAAACAAGATCATGGTTCTGATCAGATTCGTTGTCTTATTGTCATGACTACGAATGGGTTTTATTCCTTGCCTGCCGGACCTTGTAATATTTGTATCCAGATTCATTTCTTTAATATAGGCTCCGAATGGAGAAAGCAGATCAAGCAGAGCGGATCAAGCGGATRAAGTYGATKAAGTAGGAAAAAAYCAGATCTAGCAGATCAAGRTGGAGAAGTGCAGATCTAACAAATAATGCAGTTCATAATATATGTTTGAATGGTGAAAGCGGATAAATAGCAGTACAAAATATATATTACAATAATAAAAAATTGGAATACAAATCTTAACTAAGAAATTATTAAACAATATACATACTTTAAATAAATTACATTAAGTCTAAATATTGTTTAGTTT